TGGCAAATAAGTATGGGGATAGCACAGCTCCTTGAAGGACCTCGGAGTTGCTGACTCAGGGTTTCGATATGGCCTTCCCCAATCTAGTGGTTTGTACCCTATCGGTAAAATAGTTGGGAGCTAACAACTGCTTGGGACATTCGAACGATTCCAGTTTTGTAACAACTTAGATCGAGGAATGGAATCAAATGCAGAAGAGTAGTCGAGAAAAACTGAAGGCGTTTGAGGATAGCCTTTTCAGTCAATTTAAGAGCTGAAGATGTTAATGCTATGGGACGAAAACGTTTGGAGAGGATAGAGGACCTCCAATCGTCGGATGTCCTTAGCTCTCAGTGGCCAGGTTTCGCAGTAGGACTGGTCGAACTGCTGTGGCAAACACTCTGAGCCTGATTTTGAGGCTGATCTCGTTCCGGCGCCATAGGGTGGTTCGTAGCTGCAGAAACGCCGTTCGGGCCGTGTCGATGCGCCACTTTACATCATCTTTGGCCTGTCCATTGAGCAAGTTGGTGGACCCTATGTACTTAAAGTCCGATAGGATTTCTATTGTCCGACTATCCAGTTGCAAGGGATGTTCCGCTTGATCAGGTGGAATAGCGAACATCTTGGTTTGTTAGGATTAATCTTAAGGCCTATCTCAGAGGCAAATCTTTTGATACGGTTGACAGCTGTTTGCAAGACGGTCAGGTCTTCTCCAAGCACTACCACGTCATCGGCGAATTCGAGGTCAGTAGTCCAGCAATCCGCGGAAACTTGGACGCCTTGGTAACCTTCCATTGCCCGAAGCAAAATCCAATCAACGGCGAAGGTGAACCACACTGGAGATAGCTGACATCCTTGTCTTACTCCCAACTTCAGATTGAAAGAATGAGACTCTTCGCCGTGGGCACGGATACGAGCTTTGGTTAGGGTGTACTACAATCTCACCAACTTTGCAGGGACGCCATCTGTAAGAATTATCTTCCACTGAATAGAATGCGGCGCGAAAGTCAATAAAACATGTAGCTGTGGGGCGCTGAAACTTGTATCGGTGTTGCAGAATTCGCCTTAGGATGAAAATCTGACCAATACGTCCTTTGCCAGGTTGGAAGCCTCCTTGATTTGGCCGCGTACGTGCATGCTTCATTGTAGCAGATCGATTAAGCACAAACTGGGTAAACACTTTTGCAGCCACATCCAGCAGACCGATGCCCCGTCAATTCTCGCATAGTGTCCTGTCGTCGTTGTTGGGGAATGGAAGCAAAACCGAGGTGTTCCAATCAGTTGGACATGTTTGGTCTCTCAAATAGAGCGAAAGGGAGAGTGAAGCGGTTTGATGACCACAGTCAGGCATTTCTTATATATTTCTGCCGGGATTCGGTCTTCACTAAGGGCTTTGCCAGACTTCAAGTGACCGGGGGGTCACAGTCGACCTCGTATGGGAACGCCCTGCCGGAATGAGTGTCCACTAAATTGCCCAGCGGATGACTGGGAAGTCGACTAAAATGTTCTACCCATCTGGTTATTCTACCGTCGATATCGGAGATCAGTCCCACGGAGGAGTCGCGCAGAACGGGTTGCAAAGATTGCCTTCTACCGGACGCTGAC